ACTTTCAACGCAACGGCGAAATCATCACACAACATGCTGGAAACTAATGTAAACTCCACTGCAGTTACAATAATAGCCTAACTTAATTTTATCAGCTTGACGTTGAACTAATGCTCTGTGCTCGTACCATGATAATGTTACAATAAAATGCATTTAGCCGACGTGATATTATATAGCATAAGCCATTTCTCTAACTATTCGTGTATCTTTCACAATCAGCAATGTCAACAAAGGTGAATGTATAATATGATAACGAAAACGGTTAGTGAACTAAACTGAACAGTTTCAGTGTATCAGTAAGATCGTAGGAAGTAACATTACTGTAGTGAACGTGTCTGGAAATATAAACAATATGGTAGTGGGATGACGACGTTAGTCAGTAGATCTAGTAAATAAAATAAGTTACATACTAAATGTTATACTAATGTTATCCTGGAACATTCTTTTTTTGTATTCATGTCATGTTTCATGTAGTTTACCTTGCTATTTCACTTGAGTTTACTATGTTGATCCGCGTTTTCGTCCGGAGTCGATCAGATTCACGTTTTGCCTGACGAGCTCGAGCAGATAAAACTTTTTTTGTTTTTTATATTTATGTGGAGTTTGTGTTTGAGTCTGTGTTGTGCTGGAGGCAGGACGTTTTGGGGGGTTATCAAACTCTGAAGTGCCGTTGGTCGCATGATAGACTGTTGGATAGAGAGGCTCGGGAGCGCGCATGCACGTCACATCTGATGGATTTCGCAGGAAATCCGACCCGGAGACCTCACATATAAATAAGAATATTGGCCATCAGAGGTAATGGCAAAACCCGAAAAGTGGATCATTGCAATGTGTGATTACAACCCCTTCAAACACAGGCAAAAAAGGATTCATTTTATAAAAAATTTTACATATAGAACCTTTATTATAAAGATTTTTAATATAAAGTATTTTCCCACAAATCATTTTAATAGTATTTTGCCCTACCGATGCTCTTCAAAACCAAGAGGCAGAGAATCAACTTGTCTCCCTGGATTCCACTCTTACACCCATTAACCTCTTCCAGGGTTGGGTGGAGTACAAGTAAGAGCCTGGAAGATTGTGTGTGTGCGTGTGTGTGTGAGGGGGCAGGGGGTGTGTTCAAACCAGCGAGAGTTTTATTTTGATGTGTAAACCAGCATGCAGACAGAGATATGGAGCATAGCCTGGGGATTATTTTTTTTATCTCAAAGCAGAGACAGAAAAAATAAATAAATAAACCGCCATGTCAATGTACACACCCTTCCACACCCTCCTTTCTTTTAACCAGATATTGCTTCCATTTTCTTTGCCATCACTCTTCATTCAAAATTTTCATTAAAGGGATAGTTCACTGTGAAATAAATGTTTGATATGTTTTAGCTTACCTCAAGATGTTGGTGTCTTTGTTTCCGCAGGATTTTCAATTTTGACATTTTTCAGTCAAACCGTTGTTGTCTATCAGTCATACACTGGAGGCAAAGGGGGTCCACCAAAAAGCATGCACAGAGAAGTCCAAATTAAAGGACAACTCCGGCGCAAAATGAACCTTCGGTGAAATTACACATTGCTACCTAGTCAACCGTTATCTGAGATTTGTTTTTTTTTATGATTGCCGAATGTAAATAGTTTTATCTCTAAAAACAGTTTAGCCTATAACGCTAGTATAACGCTGGTCTATAGGGCATAGAGTAATGACAAATAAAAATCGCTTGTTATTACCACTAACAAGGCTCAAAATAGCCCCACACCAACACGACAGCATAACAAGGGTCCCTACATTCAAACCGAAGCATTGAGAACTTTGTCAGTGTCCATACAGTTTAATAAGAAGATATTTTATACACAGTCAACTTCGCGAATACAGGAAGAAGCCATCTTTGAAAAATAGTCTCTACCAGTCGATCTACGAACGCCGATCCATGTGCGCTGAACTGTGCAGAATCTCATATGGTCCGTTGTTTCCAGAAGAAACACAAACACAAACCGTTTTTTTCTCTTCAATATGCACATAGACTACTGCTCGCGCTCACCTTATCACCTTATTCACATCTCACCAGCGCACTTGGATCGGCGTTCGTAGATCGACTGGTAGAGACTTTAAACATGATTTAATGACTCGTAAATGTAAGTACACATTGATGGCCTAAGACACGAAACGAGCGGTTTGTGTGAGAAAACGAACAGTATTTATATCGTTTTTACCTCGTGTAATTACAGTGACGTCCAAGTGATCTGAATCAGTTGTGCAATGTCCAACTGAACCGAACTGAATCAGTTCAATGTTACGCTGGAAGTGATCGCTTGCGTGTGACGTCACTCAATATTTACACGGAGATTTCGGAAGTTTTACCTTTTACTAAACATATTTAGATATACCGAAATCGTCAAATGACAAAATTATCTGACGGCACGGGCGCCTTGGTCTGAGCATGCACCGGAAGTGATCGCTTGCGCACCTACGTCACTCTTTGTTTATACAGAGATTTCGGAAGTTTTACCTTTCACTAAACATATTTAGATATACGGGAAACCGCAATGGAAGACGATTTCGGTATATCTAAATATGTTTAGTAAAAGGTAAAACTTCCGAAATCTCCGTGTAAATATTGAGTGACGTCACACGCAAGCGTTCACTTCCGGCGTAACATTAAACTGATTCAGTTCGGTTCAGTTGGACGTCACTGTGATTACACGAGGTAAAAACGATATAAATACTGTTCGTTTTCTCACAAAAACCGCTCGTTTCGTGTCTTAGGCCATCAATGTGTACTTACATTTACGAGTCATTAAATCATGTTTAATTTTGACTTCTCTGTGCATGCTTTTTGGTGGACCCCTTTAGCCTCCAGTGTATGACTGATAGACAACAACGGTTTGACTGAAAAATGTCAAAATTGAAAATACTGTGGAAACAAAGACACCTACATCTTCATATTTTTATGATAATTTTGACCTCTGTATGATCAATAATGAAAAAAAATCCCATAATGTACAATAATTTCAGAATTTTGTGACACTTCAATCAGAGGTCATTGTAATCATAGTGCTTCTAAACTCATTGATCTAGCTGTGGATCTACATCATGATTGTGAGGAGAAAGTGAAGGTGAGAGACAGACGTATAATTATAATTATAATTATCGGCTCCACCCCCCCAACAATCCAGACAACTGCCTCCCCCATTTGGCTCGTGTACGATAACTTTCTTCCAAATACGATCATTGAGCTTCTGGTAGCAAAGTTCATCGCAAAGTTTTTATTTTTATTTATTTTTTTATTTTTTTTGTTAAGGTTTTGTTTACAGTGTGTGATTTATTTCATGGAAAGCACATTCACTTCTAGTTGTCTTGCTGTTCATTTCAAATAAACGTAGAGCAAGTAGCTAATCGGCGTCTGCTCGTTTTTTCAAACAAAGTTGTTCTATAAAAGACGAACGTCACTCTGCATATGTCATCTCCTTCATTAGGGCCCTATAAAATCCGTTTTATTTTTTCCCAAATTCCGTTTTATTTTTTTCCAAATTCCGTTTTTTCCGTTTTAATTTTTGCAAATTCCGTTTTTTCCGTTTTATTTTTTGGGAATTCGGGGGTTTTTTTTACCCTTTACTGTTATTTTAGTTGTAAAACGAGCTTTTAATTTTGCTTTTAATGTTAATGATTAAAATGTACACAAATAAAATAGGCATTTACTCTTAAAATGACTAATACTTCATGATGCAACATAACACTGCACTCTAAGTACTACAAGTAACAACAAAATAGGGTTATGAGCTTTAAACTGTCCTGTAAAAATAAATTGTGCGTGTGCGACGAGTTTCTTAACTTTTTCGCCGACGAAAGCAGAGCCGTGGAGAGCCGCTTCGCCATGCTTTCAGTGGAAACGCGGCTATTGTTTTGATGCCGTCATGAGCTGAAATGACTGGAGGGGTTGTGTCGCCCAGATTTGCTTCCCCGTCTCTCTGCATTTTCCCCAGACATACGTTCATATCCCACACAAAAAACGAATTTCATTCCAAATATGTAAAATTCCGCTAAATTCCGCGTTAACACTAGATTCCGCGTTAATTGGCCAATTCCGCGATTCCGTCTTTAATTATAGGGCCCTACTTCATCGCTCTAATTGGTTTCAGGTCTATCCAATTGGGCCCAGAGGCATTTGAGATACGTCCGTTGGTGACGCCCCTTTGGAAATGATTTGTCTATGAAGCTTTGCCAGACCAGAACTCAGTTGCAACTGAGAATGTTCTGGTTTTAACCAGGCTATCAAACCGCAGTTTTTGCAAGTTCCCGCAATTTCATCGCATAAAATTGCATCAATATCCTGCATATTCCATCGCATTTTTAAAGAAAACGGGCCACATAATCAGGATTTTTGCCCGCAACAATCACAAAAAAACTCCAATTGGTTTATTTAATGGAAAGGGTGAATATCACGTCTGTCAAGAACATGTTTGAGTCATTTCACTTCACAATCAGAAATTACATTGTAAATAAATACAATAAAAACTAAAGGGCAATGGAGGAGAAAGATGGATAAATGCTACAAGTGAAAGGTGGCAAAATGTTTTTGGGTTTCCCCTTCATTGGTGTCTATGAATTTAAATCTGCCTCCACTCATAATGATACGTCTACTGTAAATATTCTAATAATTCTGTGCATTTACTTTCTACATCAAAAATATTCAAAATATTCATAAATATTGTTGTTGTTGTTGTTTTTTTTTGTTGATTGTTGAAATGAGCATGATTAAATATCCAATAATTTAATTATATACCAATACATAATGATAAAAAACACGAATAATGGATTAATTAGGCAAATAAAAAAATAATAATAAAAATATTAAAAAAATATAATAATAAAATAATATATTTATAATATATACATATGCGCTTTTTATTATAATGTCTAATAATTATGATTATTACAAGAAATGAATATGTATAGCATATTTCATATCGATTGCTTTACCTCTGAGCAGTTTGAGGTGGGACGGTCTTACCTTTTTCAGCACATTCTGGAAGTCCTTTTCTCTCCACAAACTCCAGAGAAGAACTCCAGCATCCTTTCTGGCTTTCTCGAAAAATCTGCGAGCAAGAGAGAAACAGAATAGTCTCCGCTAATACACATCAAATACTTACAGAGAGCCTGTCATCCATGGCTAAATATCATTGTCAGTGTCATTTATCATATCTGTCCTGCTAAAACTCCAACCAGGAGCTTGCTAATGTTTGCTAATGCCATTCCTTCACTGTCATACATGTATTTTCCTTTGGGCACACTTACACATTTGAACTCAGCGCGCTCAGAGAGTCGATGAGTTTTTGGTTCAACATCGTCTTCCCAACGTTAGGCTCAGCCATCATGAGTGTGTGCATCACGCGGCACGCTGTAGAGATGGAGCTGTCCGATTCAACCATTTTCGGGGTCACAGACGAGACCATAGAGCTGACTCTGGGAAGAATTTCCGTGGCTGTGTTTGACAACAACAACATGAACATTAGCAATGTTGATGCTGCAAGTGCAGTACAGGGTACTGCGCAAAATAATACTGCAGTCTGTACGTTACTTGATGACGTGCAAATCTGATGCTTTTTCTTTTTCATGAGAGGAAGAAAAAACATTAAATAACTGGCCTCGATATGAATTAGCCTTATATTGCTTGTATTTAAAAAAAGGAATGTCACAGTAACATGTCATATGTTTTAGGTAACTGGGCTCAGTAGGAAGTACTTGTAAATGTCTTGCATACAGAATGTAAATAATCGCACTGGCATGACATGTTTTAACTGGCCTTGATTTGTGCTGGAGGAGACTTTACAGAGTGCTGGACTCGGTAACACTTTAGAATAGTGTATCTTAATTACTGCATAACTAATGAGGAACGATTGAAGAACTAGTAGATAATTCTTCATTAACTACTTCTTCACTCCCGTTAACTACTAAGGAAGATGTGTTAACTAATCAGTATGTAATAGAATTTTATGATTATTTAAAGTGTTTGAGTTCAAGTACAGATACCCCAACAAAATATTACTCCAGTAAAATTATAATTAGGCCATTTTCAAAATTACCTTAGTAAAAGTACAAAGGTAATTGACTCTTCGCTAAGCCCCGCCCTCCCTAGTTACTGTTGCTACGCCTGTCAAGCTTTCGCGACTGGCCCATCTATTATAGTGTGGATGCACCCGGTGTCAGACATTCCCAATGAGATGATTAGTAATTTTCGGCGAACAAGTGAAATATCTGAGAGAGCAAGACAAAAGGGACTACAGCATGCATTTGAGGGATATATTCACGACATTATATGCAACCGATTAGGGAATAATTTCTTAAAAATTGAAGTTAAAGCCTAACGTTATAGTTCCAGCGCCTCATACGCTGACCGTTCAAATGGGAAACACAAATTGAGGAACAGCCATGTTCATACACAGCAGGGTATGTGAAAATAATCTTAATAATTATAAATCAAACAGCTTATCAATAAATCTTGTGGAATAACTAATACCGGGAGAGCCGCGATCGGATTGGGTTAAGTTAAGGGGTAACGTTAGTAGGACGTTGATTAACAAAATGCTGAAATATATTTTAAAGTATGTCAGTGAGCCTTTGTCTTGTCTCTTTAATAGTCATATTTTACGTTATCATAATGACCAAAGCGTCAATATTTCCAAGCAATGGGTGTTTTTGTTAAGCATGTCGACATTTACCAGAATGGGTCTCGCACATAGATGCTAGATCAAGCCAATCATTTCTCCCCTTGGCTTTTAGATTTTCTGGAAGGAGAACAATTCCTCTCCCCCGTCCAAACTTTTAGTATACCGGTATCAGATTTGCACAATCCATACGCACAATGCTTCAGCATGTTCCCTTGTTCGAAAGCTTGCCAGACCTCCCGCGCATAGTTACGGTTGCTAAGACATGATTGGCCAGTGGCGGTTTTCGGGCGTGGCTTAGCGAAGGGTCAATTAAAGGGGTGGTTAACGCTTTTTTTCTTTGCATGATTGTGTTTATGGGGTGCAATAGAACATCTATTCGTGGTTTTTCTTTTTTAAAAAGTCATATTTTTCATAAATTTCACCTTTATTGTAAGCCGTGCTCTCCTCTGTCATTTGAACGACCGGTTGACTTCCTGATTCTATGAAACCACTCCCTCAGAAACAGGCAGTGGGCTCAGATTGGTTAGTTTGGCCTGGTGTGTTGTGATTGGCTAAACTGTAGTGCACGTTGTCCTGATACTTCCCGCCCATTACCTTTACGGGCGAAGTTGCATGTGTTGTTCCTGTCAAATGTACATATTGGTGTCGATACTGCAGTATCAGTATGAGCCAGAATCAGACCGAGAAAGCGGCGATGAAGAGAATCAAGCAGAACCTCACCACACACGGCTCTTACAAAACGTTTCTGAATGGTAATTTGCCAATATTTTTTTATTGGCATTAAACTTCCTGATTTTTAAAAGACGATATCTCTGCTTACATTGAACTTTAAGCGCTGCAACTTTGCAGATACTGGTCATGCACCAACAGCAACATTACACACTATTTAAAATCAAAAAAGTGAAATCGCAATCAAACCACCCCTTTAATTTTTTTAAAGCACTCAAAAAGAAAAAGCATATTATTGTACTTAGTTCTCATACATTTTAAACTTATTTTGCACTATTAAAGTTATACGTTTTTTTTTTTTAAACTAAGTTTTATTTGAGTCAGAAGTATGTGGTAATTTTATTCACTTTAGAATACTGTTTCAGGTTATAAGTAATTCCTGAAGAATTGTCTAATAATTCTTTATTAACTACTAATAAGTTTCCAGTTCCCCTCAATTTTTGCCTAAAATACATGAATTTACTCAAAGGCATTCTATGCTGATGAAAACAGACAGACACAGTACTGTATTATAAAATATATAAATAATCTGAAAGTTTTTTATGACTGTTCATAAGTTATTTCTTGGTTATTTTTATTGAACCTTAATTAGAATATAATTAGTAGTAGTTCTTCAGGAGGAATGACAGAATTCATTATTTATTGATTAACTAACTGTGTGATATTACATACATCTTCAATAATTCTTCATTAGTTATAAAGTAAGATACAGTATTCTAAAGTGTTATCCTGGACTCTTTTCATTGGCAAAACAAAGATCTTGACTATAATTTCATGCACCTCTTCATGGAAATAAATGTTGTGACGGTATTGACAATGCAAGAGTCCAGCACTCTGTAAAGTCTCCTCCAGCACATCCCAAAAACCTAAAATGAATTTAAGGTCTCAATTCATGTGTGAAAATGATTCTTCATGCTCCTCCCAACCATTATTACACAGTTTGAGTCTGATGAATCTTGACATTGTCGTCCTGGAATATGGCCATGATGTGTCTTCCTACAGTACATGAATGTTTAAGAAAGTAAAATCTACACACTCCATCAATTAGGGTTAGAAGAACTGTTGTCAAACATATAACATGCTAGAAACATAATAATCACTGATATAATGATCCAGTCATAGACCCTTAAGCATTTGCCTTAAATACAAACAGCGACTTTGTTTTTGGCCGGGCAGTGTACATTACATTGATAAAGTATTATATATTTTAATTATTATTATTATTATATTTAATTATTAACTTAATTAAATTATTATTATATATTTCCTGTATGATAAATAAATACATGCTAAATAAAAGCAATATCACACAACATATATTTTAGACACAAGATATCACATGTAGTGATCACATCAGATGGCTTAATTAGATTAGTAAATACTGGCATTATGTTTAATAAGTCATTATGTAAATCCATTGGGTACGATATTTAGTTATTTGTACTGCCCCGGGGACTCAGGTGACATTCTCAGTCAGTTTAGAGTCACAATTCACACACTCAGACCAGCTGTTGAGTGACTGAGCAAAACACTGAGCGAAAGTTTCAGGGTGGGGTTGCACCCGCCATTCGTAAGTCCCTTCTTAAAGTGGAATGTGAAATCCACAATAGAAGTTTAGTAACCACAAGCTCATTTGTAATAAGGGTGTTTTCACAGTTGGCATGTTTCACAAATGGCCCTGTCCCAAACGGCACATTACATGTAAATGTGTCTGACATTCCAAGGTGGCTCATTCAAAATCAATTAGTTTTAAATTTCTCGAAAACAGTTTCCATGTGCTTTTCCATTAAAAAAATAAATATAAAAGGAAGATTTAAAGGCAACCTATTATGCCCCTTTTTACAAGATGTAATATTGGTCTCTGGTGTCCCCAGAATGTATTTGTGAAGTTTCAGCTCAAAATACCCCATAGTTAATTTATTATAACCATTTGAAAATGTCATTTTGGGGCCTGCTTAAAAATGAGCTGTTTCGGGGACTATACCACCTTAATGCAAATGAGCTGCATATCGCCACCCTGTCTTTGGATGAGGGCGTAACTTGATACCCATGGCAGTCGGTACTGAGGGAACGAGAAACCGCTGTTTTGAATGTCATTCAGCGTACGTTTGAATCGGAATATATAAATAGTACGAAGAGACTCCGGCAGAATAAACACAAATGAGAATGGACCAGTACGTCTCGATATGGTTATTTGATACATTTATGTACTTATTATAGAGTTGTAATCGCGTCCGGATGTGCAACACACACACAGAGACACACACAAACACTGAAGCTGGCGCAATATTTTGAAACTACATACACATTCTGTGATAAAGTTTGCTACGTACAAGCGAAATTACATTTATGCGAGGGACCTGTGGCGTCATGTTTACTTGTCATACGGGTGCTTCTGTGGCAAATGTGAGGAGACGGCTAACTTACAGAACAAGAACATATATGCAGTTTTTAATACAATATCTTTAAATATATATAAACGTGTGGTTACACACTATACAAACAAGGTTTAAATTATATAGCCTACACAGACATCCTACGACGACAACAACTTTAGACGCATTTGTTGTTGAATTGGCTGACATTGACTGAAAAGACTATTTGCTCAAAAATCATAAAACACACTTACTGTTAACGTTACTGGATGTGACGGTGGATCGCAAACAGTAGATGACGATCCACAGTTGAGGATTAACTTTTAAGCCACAACAACAGGATTAACCCACTACAGAACATTTATGTTTCCAAGAGACATTACCGGCTGTCGTTGAAACAATGGAGGATGCGTGTACAGATCACCGAGGGCGGGGTCTAGGCCACAGCCACACTGTCAATCAAACCCCTTTCTCACTTTCTACGTCACAAAGAGCTGAATCTCAGAACAGCTCGTTCTGAGACAGTGCATATGATTTATTGAGATTGTAAAAAAAACACTGGGTGGATTTTTATCATTCTAGGGTGGTTTTGCTCACACACTGCCAACACACATTTATGTTCAAACACCATGTTAAAGTGAATTTTCCATAATAGGTGCCGTTTAATATTAGCTTACAAAATAAAGAAATTCATCCAGTTAAAGAATTTAAATATTTAGGATTAGTTTTAGATCCTCAACTTAAATATGAAAAACATATAAAGAAAATCCAGAAAACATTACAAAGTAATCTCAATTGTCTTAAATTAATTAGAAGCTACAGTCCAAGCCAGGCAGCCCTAATGTACATACATGCTATGATATTTTCTCACATATCATATTGCATGACAACATGGGCACAAGCCGCTCCCACTGCAATCAAACGCATAAATTCTTTATATAATCGAGCAATAAAAATTTTGGATAAAAAAAACCCAAAACATTAAGTTATCATCACTGCAGCATCTTTAAGAAATATAATTTAATTAATTTTAATTAGGCTTAAAAATTGGTTAAAAATAAACCAAAAGTGTAGTCATTTTTAACTATATTTAATTATTGAAGTTGTATATGATATGCATGTATGTTTATATTAGTATTTTTATTATTATTTTTTAATCGAAGTAGTTAATCATGTAAATTTTATTGTGTATAAAAGCCCTTCCAGGGACAGGAGTTGAAAATTAGCAATAGCTTTAAACTTTATATGCAACACTTCAGTGACATGCTTGGTCTTGACACTATGTTTGTTTGCATTGTCCCTGTCAAATAAAGAAATAAAGTCATGTGGACTTACAATGGCCAACGTGTGTGCGTGTCAAGTAACTCTACAAAACCGTAGGTTGTTCCATTTGTCATTTTAGGTTTCAGAAGTCTACCCCACATTCAAAGCGGTTTTACCTCATGAAAGTGTGTAAAATGTAAGCTGGTGTAAATGTCAATTTCTGTCTAAAGGATTGAAGTCTATCAGGTAAAACAAGAGTCCAACCATTACTTCTAACTGGAGGCTTCCGAAAATATTTAGTTTGTACGTAGAGTTACGCTTCAACTAAGTTTAATGGTCTAACACAGAATTATGTAGTAGTGCGCAAGTTGTGAAAAAAAGTCTCTCACCCATAGCACTCCGTAGAGATGCCACCCGGGATATGTTGCCCACTAAGGACATGGCGGTCTTCTGTAGGCCCAAGTTTGCAGAATTCAGCAGAGGGGAAATGATAGGCAAGCCATACAGCTTCTCTATGATGGTTTCACTTATCACAGTGGACACCTGTGCAGAGGTCCAATCAAAATACAAGTTTAACTGCTTTTCCACAATCAGAGCATTTGCAGTGGTTTTAAAATCAAATCTACGGCTTTTTAAGACCCTTTTTATAAAATGCACAATAGAGCCAGACCGATATATCGGCCGGCCAATATTATCGGCCGATATTAGGCATTTTCCAAACTATCGGTATCGGCAGTTATAATGGCCAATAAATGAATACTTAAAAAATAAAATAAAAACAGACGAAACACGCTTCAATCATCTCTCTCCCTGGCCTGTTATATTGAAAATGTATGTTTTCCAATTTGCAGTAGACTAGCTAACCAAAAAGCTAGCTAATGCCACTATCATTGGTGGAAGACCACTAATGTTATCATTAATTAGCTTGGTAACCACAATGAACTTTTTCTGCCTAAATAAAGTAATGATTACCGTATTTATAACTAGCATATCTCTAGTTACAGTCCCTGCATTGTAAAATGTAAGTTGCGAGGAGTGAACATTTAGACACAGAGAAAAAATATCAAACGTATCTTGTGCATAAAAGTTAGCTTTTCTTTTACACGTGTGTGAAATCCAGTCGTTCTGTAATGGATTTAGAATCTCTAAATAGTAGGTTTGACACCGTGTCCTAACTACACGCGACGCGATAAAATTCCAGCGACAGCAAGTGTGTCTGTCCACACTAGACGCGACTGTGAGACGCCACACATTCAGAACAGCGTGTGAGCTGAGAGTCTCTCTGTGAAAGCGCACTGCTGGCCCGCACTCGCATTGGAAATGGGTAAGGACATAATCAAATCAAGAAATAACATTATAAAACCCAAAACATTAACAAAATATACTCGTTGACTAATTTTGTTATGAAGTACAGTTGTATATTTGCATAGAATTCATTTTGAACGCTATATTATGCTTTCAAAATCTGAGGTAAATTATCCGTTATCACTTGTGGCACAGTGAGCTATTTTTAACTAAAAATAAATAACGTGTAACCTCATAACCAGTGTAATTTCTTCATTCCGTCAGCCGCGACGTCGCAGAAATAGGAACCGTTTCTAAATTAGAAACTCTGATTAACATGGAAAAGATACCTTTTATCGCGTGTCGCGGCGTCGCGTCGCGTGTAGTTAGGACACGGTGTTAGGAGGCAGGCAGCAACTGATTGAAAATGGTTTGATGTAGCTTGATGGAAAGAATTTAAAAAGTGTAGGTAAAGGGTTAAGCAAGCTGACATTGTAATTATAAGGTAGCTTATAAAGCAATGTAGGGACTAATTATTATTTTATTTATCAGAACTTTAATTTATTTTGATGTTCCTCTGTTCTGTTGAGACAATAAAAGAAACAAGTTTCTTTTAAAATGCTTTATCATATTTTTTTAGTTAAACCTCATAAATAACTACAAATAACTATGCTAGGGGAATCTGTTAATGTTTTGTTGTGCGTTTCTGAAAAAAAATATATATCGGCCGATATATCGGAATATCGGATTTTAAAACCAAAAACCTCTGATGCTCTTCTGTCAAAAAGGTTATTAGGCCGTGTGTCCACCAAAGCGTTTTTATCCAGCTGAAAACGCTAGACGCTCTGCTGAAGACGCCGTGCTTTGGGCGCTTGAGAGCGCTTTGGCAGCGCAGCGTTTTTTCTGTTGAGACGTTTTGTTGCTATGATACGGAATATATGCAGCAGTTTGAATGTTGTGACAGTTGGTTGGTGTGGTTTGGTCCCGCCCCTCCTCCACTGTGATTGGACGGCTGGGTAAAATGTGACAGTGATGAGCGCTGCGTTTTATCCAAAGTTGAACATTTTTCAACTCCCAGCAACCAGTAAAAACGCTGAGGGCTCGGCGCTTCAGCGTGAAAAAGAACGCTCTGCGCCTCGGTACGCTCACGGCGTTTAAAAAAAGCGGCGCTCCCATTGAAAACAATTGAAAACATACGCCAGGCGCGTGGAAAAAACGCTTTGGTGGACACACGGCCTTATTATTATTTTTTTTTACTTCATCTGAATGGTATGAAACCTGGTAAAGGTAGTGCACACTTCTGGTACTGCGCCCAGAAGTTTGTGCGAAAAAACAAACAAAAATAATGAGTTTATTCGAATATTCCTTTTCTTCCGTGTAGGCCCGAGACGAGAGTTCAAGAGATTTCCACGACGCATGTGCGAGAACTGAACTGAAGTAGTTGAAGGAGATCGCAATTCTCGTGAATGCGTTGTGGAAATCTCTTGAACTCTCGTCGTTATTTTCGTTTGTTTTTTCGCACAAAAAGTATTCTCGTCGCTTGATAAACTTATACTTGAGCCACTGTAGTCACATGGAATATTTAAACATTTTCTTCATTGACTTTCTTGGCCGTCAAGTTTCGATCCCTTAGGCAGCCTATGTAGCAGTGATCCACCACTCAAATTTAATCAAAAATATCTTCATTTGTGTTCCGAAGACGAACGAAGGACTTACGAGGTTGGTACAGCATGGGGGTGAGTAATTAATGACTTAATTTTAATTTTTGCCTGAACTAACCCTTTAAAATGGTACGGTTCTTGGTACCAATTTCGGTACCACAACAAAATCAATTTGAACTATTTTTCCAATTTATTTAACTATTTGAAGAAAATATTAAATTCAATTCAATGACTTTATTATTTATGATGGCAAATTTATGAAAGCATTGAAGGCCACATGCTGTTTAAATGAAAATATTGAGAAATCTTGTTTATAAAAGTGAAAAATAAGCAACCTTCTACGCACACATTATTATTAGTAGTAGTATTTTTAATTAATGGAGACGTAGTTAAATCTATTGTACAATAGCCTAATATAATTTTTTCTGTCAATTTCTTTAAGTTAAACCAAACTTTTATTTTGACGGGTTGCCGCGAAGACCTTTGAGTTTCTGTGCGTGTGTGATATGATGATAGTTTTCCCCCAAACTTCTTAATTAAATTTCTTATATCATATCATTTTATTTAAGACTTTTTATGGCCTTAGCTTTAATACAACTGAATTTACTCCGCTCCGCTAGGAGTAAAGTTCAATGTGAACTCTATTGCGTGTCGAAGCACTTACAGGGCTCTTTGAAGCTGTGAGGTTCTGCAGAGCTCCACAGCACGCCTCCAGAGTGGCTTCTTTCTGACTGCAGCTCAGCAGAGACAGGTACAGCTGCAGGGACTTCTGGTGGTACAACCAATTCACTCCTTTAGGCTTATCCACCTCCATGGCTGGGAAGCTGACCTGACAAAAAAGTGACAAAAAGGTGTAAACAGAGTATTACATTCACAACTTGGTTTAGGCTAAACCATTCTAACTAGCCTAAACTAACTAGCCTAAACCGTTCACAACTTGGGTCACTTCTACACACAAAAAAACTCTTTCTCTGAACATGATTCAATTTTGGACAGTGATGAACTTAAGCGAAGTGAGGAAACTCAATGAAAATTAGACATGTCCAAATAACTTTGTTTAATCGTTTCCAAATAACTTGATTCAGTCGTCTCCAAATAACTTGATTCAATTGCTTCCAAATAACTTTATTCAGTCATGTCCAAATAATGTGATTTAGTCGTCTCCAAATAACGTGATTCAGTCGTGTCCAAATAGCGTGATTCAGTCGTGTCCAAATAAAGTGATTCAGTCGTGTCCAAATAACTTGATTCAGTCATGTATTCAGTCGTGTCCAAAGAACTTGATTCAGTCGTGCCCAAATAACTTGGTTCAGTCTTGTCCAAATAACATGATTCAGTCATGCCCAAATAACTGGATTCAGTCATGTCCAAATAACTTGATTCAGTCATGCCCAAAAAACTTGATTCAGTCATGCCCAAATAACTTGATTCAGTCGTGTCCAAAGAACTTGATTCAGTCGTGTCCAAATAACATGATTCAGTCCTGTCAAAATAACTTGATTCAGTCGTGTCCAAATGACGTGATTCAGTTGTCCAAAGAACTTCATTCAGTCGTGTCCAAATAACGTGATTCAATCGTGTCCAAAGAACTTGATTCAGTCGTGTCCAAATAACGTGATTCAATCGTGTCCAAAGAACTTGATTCAGTCGTGTCCAAAGAACATGATTCAGTCGTGTCCAAAGAACATGATTCAGTCGTGTCCAAATAACGTGATTCAGTCGTGTCCAAAGAACATTATTCAGTTGTGCCCAAATAACGTGATTCAGTCATGTCCAAATAACGTGACTCGGTAGTGTCGAAATAACATGATTCAGTCGCGTCCAAATAACATGATTCAGTCGTGTCCAAATAACGTGATTCAGTCGTGTCCAAAGAACATTATTCAGTTGTGCCCAAATAACGTGATTCAGTCATGTCCAAATAACGTGATTCGGTAGTGTCGAAATAACATGATTCAGTCGCGTCCAAATAACATGATTCAGTCGTGTCCAAATAACATGATTCAGTCGTGTCTAAATAACGTGATTCAGTTGTGTCCAAATAACGTGATTCAGTCGTGTCCAAATAACGTGTTTCAGTCATGTGGAATCACTATGACTGAGAATCATGTTTAACCAAAGAGTTATTATTTTTTATGGCAATGACCAGAAAGTATTAATTGGAGGACTAGTTCACCCAAAACATACATTTTAGTCCGTTTCTTCTGAGACTTTGCAAAGCTTGAAAGTTCCAGAAGCCTAATATTTCTCTTTAATTTCTCGCACTTAAAAGCCTTTAATTTTCTCAAAAAACGACAGTGCGCCTTATAATCCGGAGCGCCTTATATATGGATCAATTGGTTAACAACGCTCCGCGTTATTAAATTCGCCCGCGAACTCGCGCTCGTGTCCATCCCACTTTAAGCCCGCTTTGTCACACGGCCAGTTCAACCTCGTATAAATCAGGTTATGTGAGTAAGTCATGTGCCCGCTCACTCTTAACAGACACACGATCAGACACACTGTCCCCGGCGCTGCTCGCGCGTCACAGAATGTTCATAAAGCGCTCCCCGCTCACAGTAACCGGGTCGTCTCATTCAAAACAGCCAGCTGTTGCTGTCCGCGAGCTGCCGCACATTGAATACTCACGAGTCAGGCTGCGCATGCAAGTTTCGAGCCCGCCCCAGCGCGCACACGCTTACTAATAAACGCCTCACCTCAGGCACCGCGCACTCGCTACATTACCTTTAGCACATCTAGTGGATGCATAACGCAAACCCAGTCAAACGTGTGACTGCAGTATCTTATGCGCCTCATAATCCGGTGCACCCTATATATGAAAAATGTTCTAAAGTAGGTCATTCATTGAAGGTGCGCCTTATAGTGCAGAAAATACGGTACACAGAAAGTCATACATGTTTGTAATGTAATGAGCTTTAATTTTTGGGTGAACTAATCAGTCAGCATCCCATGACCAGCATTTAAAACACACTGCATGTTAGTCGTTTCATCAGGAACAGCTTGTACCTTTTGAGTCTTGGTTCTCTTGGGGCTGAAGATGCTCTGGCTGCTTTTGTTCGCATGTGGGCTCACGTCAGGGGTAGCGAACGCTGGGAAGTGATCAGGAGCCTCTTTCTCCAGCTGGTAGCTCAGGTTATGAAGTATGCAGACACAGTTTTCCACTGACTGCTCCCCGCATCACATAAACAGAGAACCAGGACACAGAAGTCAATTGTAGCTTATTGCACTACATTTTGGCAATATTCTGGATGATCCTAAAAAAGCCTGCTGTATCATATTTGATGCACAAAAATGTTCACCATAATAAAAACTTTGCTTTGCTTTACTGCACTTTATTACATTCCTTCTGTCATCTGATTGATGATTCTTAGCAAGCAAAAGGATTTTTAGTATAATTTAATATAAAAACGTACATTTACTATAAAAACATCCCCCCACGGATAATGGTTCACATGGCTTCTTGTTTTTTGTTTTTTTTTGTTTAGTAAAATTTACTAATATTTATCAAATAAATATAAGAAGAACTTTTAAATTATTAGTGATATTTCAAGACAATTACTGAACTGAAACAACATAGGTTTACTCGAATCTCTCGATCATTATTGCATTGCTTTTTTTTTGCCCATCAATACAAACAACAGAGCTTTGATAAAAAATAGCATATTTTTGCCTAGTTTGGCCCTCTGAATAAAACTGATGTGTTTTTTTGTTGGTTTTTTTTTGTCTTCGAAAATGAGCTCTGTATGCATAAAATTTGGATGCATCAAATATTATATGCGGCAAAAAAAAAATATTTTTAAATGGTGTCTAAAGGTTCAATATGTAACATGTTATGACTATTATTTTATATGCCAGGCTTTACAATTGAGATGGTGGTTTATCAAAAAGGGGTGTCCACAAACTTGTATTTTAATAGCACTTCAAGGAATCTATTTTTTTTAAATAGGTATTACTTTTATTAACAGCATACAATTTAATTTGACTTTTTTTTTTTTAACCTAATGAATACATTTACAAGAACCTTGTGCTTTCAACTTTGGGACATCATTTTTGGAGTCCACATATTTTTTCCATGTAGAGTAAGAGCTTGCAGATCATGCAGAAAAAAATTAAAACATGATAACCTTATCATCTGAATCTCCTCTGTCCAAATGAGTCTGAACATAAGTCACGAGAGAGTCGATAAGTCCCGTGCAGTTCCTCATAGATATCCTCTCCTTCTCGCTGGCGCAGCTGAGGTTTCTGTGAGAGCACAACCAAAACTTAGCATTAAAACAGACATTACTTTCACAAATTATCCTTAGAAAACAGCAACACACTTGATTATACGTGTGTCAGTCTGTGGTGTCACATTTCTCGGTCCAACCCAAGTAAGTAAACATCTTGTGATATGCCTCTGATAAGGAGCAAGGTAAGTGATTATACAACGTTGGTATGAAAACCTGCATGACACAACATGGCAGCTCTGAGAAATCTGCTTTGGATTAGCACAGATTCATTTTAAGACGGATGAAACCAACTGCAGGTGGTTTAGTGTTTCTAAGCCGCTGCCCATGTGAGGAATTATAGTGTGTTAGAGTTGAAAACATACAGTAAAGTCTAAACTTAATGTGTTCATCATATAAAGCGATCGTGTCTCTACAAAAATTTGGACTAAACGGCTCAATTCATGTGGATTAGTATTACGATCTCTGTGGCTGTCAATGGAGGAACAGAAAACTTTCAGATTTCATTAAAAATATCTTCATTTGTGTTCCGAAGATAAACAAGTCTTAGGAGTTTGCAACGACAGTAAGTAATTAATGACAGAAATTAAATTTTTGGGTGAACTATACCTTTGAATACTGTTCAGCTTTTTACGTTCAAATGAATTATATAATTTTGCATATAAATGTCTCTTTGTATCCTTTTATTAAAGTTTTTTTTTTTTTTGTTTAGATTTCTATTGAGCCCCTAAAGATTTTACTGTGCTCCTATATTTTTCAACTTAGGAGCCAATGTGCAGTGCTTCTTCTGAGAAAAGTTAGCGTCAAGCCCTGCATCTGACCAATCAGAGCAGAGTAGACCAATCCCAACAGACTGTTCCATGTGACCAATCAGAGCAGAGTAGACCAATCACAACAGACTGTTCCATGTGACCAATCAGAGCAGAGTAGACCAATCACAACAGACTGTTCCATGTGACCAATCAGAGCAGAGTAGACCAATCACAACAGACTCTTCCATGTGACCATACAGGGCAGAGGTAACCAATCAAAACAGACTGTTCCATGTGACCAATCAGAGCAGAGTAGACCAATCACAACAGACTGTTCCATGTGACCAATCTGAGGAGAGTTGACCAATCACAACAGACTGTTACATGTGACCAATCAGAGAAGAGTAGACCAATCACAACAGACTGTTCCACGTGACCAATCAGAGCAGAGTAGACCAATCACAACAGACTGTTACATGTGACCAATCAGAAAAGAGTAGACCAATCACAGCAGACTGTATCATGTGACCAATCAGAGAAGAGTAAACCAATCACAACAGACTGTTCCATGTGATCAATCAGAGCAGAGTTGACCAATCACAACAGACTGTTCCATGTGACCAATCAGAGCAGAGTAGACCAATCACAACAGACTGTTCCATGTGACCAATCAGAGCAGAGTTGATCAGTCACAACAGACTGTTCCATGTGACCAATCAGTGCAGAGTTGACCAATCACAACAGACTGTTCCATGTGACCAATCAGAGCAGAGTTGACCAATCACAACAGACTGTTCCATGTGACCAATCAGAGCAGAGTTGACCAATCACAACAGACTGTTCCATGTGACCAATCAGAGCAGGCCAGGCTCATGGAAAGGAAGGATTTAAAGAGAGTGAATCCTTTATCAAACCATTTTAGGCACTGTGAGTAAAGAGGTGATGCTGGAATGCACATTATGAGAAACGCAAGTTGTTTTTTTTTTAACTTGAAGGAATGTAAACCGATTGTAGGAGACCCAACAAAACAAGAAAAGCAACCTTCAAAATAGCAAAAAAGCTTTAAAACGCTTGAAATATTAATCTATTCATCATCTGTTCTGATATCACACGCCCTTGGACTCGGCAGTCAGTTCCTTCTTGAGGCCTCAGACAGTGCAACTCTCACCTGAAACAGCCGGTGGTGTTGTAGAAGACCTCTGGGTCTACGAGTTTGCTGGTGTAGATGTCAGTCTCAAAGCTGTAAGGCACCAAAATGCTTTCTGTAAGCAGGGGCATGGCGTTCTCGATCAGCTCTGGCTTCAGCTCTTCAGCCGAGGACAGATTCCACAACAAACCTGAAAACATCCGACACCAAAGGGTCACGCTGTGTCCTTCACATTATACATCATTAAACACATTTAACATCAAAACACAAAAACAACTTGCATCACTTTCTTTATGGTTAACTATAAAGGAGCCTATTAACATACAATGATGACGTCATACAACAACAAATGACACACAACACATTAATATATTGTACCACAGGAAGGATTCGAGTGAGAGTGGCACGTCTTACCAGTGAGTTGTTTCTGGGTTTCTGCTACGTTGGTGTTTCTGAGCAACGTTAGAATAGCTTCTATTCCTTCACATTTTTCCACCTCAAGCTTATTATTTGTGTCTTTAAAAACTGTGTTGCGCAGTGCAGAGGCGGCCGTCTGTTGCAACTGTAAATTGTCACTTTTCAGCAACTGAATCAGAGCAGGAATCCCCGCCAACCGCCAAACCTTTTAGTGATACCAAACAACACTTATTAGAACATTATTTAAATATCATTATTCTTAAGTATATTAAAGACAGACGGACAGATATACAGATATACACTGATCAGCCACAACATTTAAACCGCCTGCCTAATCTCAAGTAGATCTCCCTCTTGCTGCCAAAACAGCTCTGAAATGTCGAGGCATGGACTCTACAAGAAGGTGTCCTGTGGTATTTGGCACCAAGAAATCGGCAGCAGATCCCTTTAAGCCCTGCAAGTTGCGAGGTGGAACCATCATGGATCGTATTTGTAGGTCCAAGACATCCTGTAGATGCTCCAAGTTTGGATTCCAAGGCAAGATTATGATTTCCATTACACGAGAGTAAATGTTAAAACTTCATGCTGATTTATACCTGGCTTTTGCCAAGGTAAGCAAAACTAAGACGTAGCTTTACAGTAAACTATGCTTCTCCATCCATTTTCGCTTCTTTCCATATGGTGGTGTGACTCCCCTTCTGTCCGGTGTTAACGGCTGCAGTGTACTTGCCGCGTCAGCACACACACGACGGCTGCAACTACAGTGTGGTCTCCCTAGTGGACCACCACGACAACCGTCTGGGTGTTAACGGCTGCAGTGTACTTGCCGCGTCAGCACACACACGACGGCTGTAACTGCAGTGTGGTCTCCCTAGTGGACCACCACGACAACCGTCTGGATTGAGCCGAGTAGGGGACATCTCTAGGGTCTTCAAGTGGGCACCTTCCGTCCTCAGTGTTTCGTCGACTAGCCCACGACACCTCATGAGGGCTCGACAGTGTCGTAGAGCTTACTGACCTCTACAGAGACCTAACCACAATCTCACGTAACCCAACCATACGCGCCAACCTGTTTGATTAAGGCTATCGAGCCCCACTGGTGCGTTATAAAGTAGTTTCAGTGGCAAACGGTTCCGTATGGCATGCCACCTACCGCAAACCACAATATCTGGCCAACCACCGTCATTCAGACAATATACACAGGAACGTAATGACTGTAATTTCAGTGCAACCAATACAAACAGACTCTTCATGAATTCTACGAAACCGTAGTGTGGCGTCCTGTACACAGCCAGCTAGAATCTTTCCGTCTCAACCACAGCCAGTTGCTACTCCTCTCTGCTGCTTCAGATATGTTCTTTACTGTGCGAAGCAACTCTTGGCCACTGAATCCGACGTCTCTGAGGAACCGGGTTGTAGAGTGTGCCACAAAACCTCGACAACCCACTTCCACTGGATAACACCTTGAACGATTACTGAACAAGTTTTTCAGTGTGGCGGGGTGCACTATCCTGCTGAAAGAGGCCGTTTTCATAAGGGAACACCATTGCCATAAGGGATGTACTTGGTCTGAAACAACCTTTAGGTAGGTGGTACTGTACGTGTCAACGTAACATCAACGAACCAGGAACCAGGGTTTCACAGCAGAACATTTCCTAGAGCACAACACTGCCTCCAACACACTGCATTCTTCCTATAGTGCATCCTGTTATCATCTTTTCCACCAAGTAAACACTGCAAAAGCACCTGGCCATCCACCTGACCTAAAAGAGAACTCTTCTATTGCTCCATGGTCCAGCATTGACACTCATTTGCCCATTGTAGGCTCTTTCGGCAATGGACAGGGGTCATCATCTGCCTTAAAGCAACACTAAAGCCCCTTTCACACAGAGATTTCACACAGAAATCACACAGCTGGAGAATTGAGATGTATAGATTCCACTGTCGCATCCTTTGTAAAATAAATCGACAGCGCATTAATTTTAATAGACAAACAGAGAACTGCAATCAAGGCATTTGTCGATCGGAAAGATATTTTTGGCGTCCTTCCTACATGATTCGGGAAAAGTGCAACTTATCAGCTGGCTCTGACGGTCGTTAAGAAGATGGGGCGTAATGAAAAGCCTGTGGTCGTTGTGCCGTTTTGACCTGCCGTTCTGGAGATACTTTGAACCTAACCATCCTTATTCGGCCCTTGTCAAGGTAACTCTTTTCGCTTGCACAATTTTCCTGCATCAAACACATGAAATTCAAAAACTAGCAGTTCACCTTCTCCTAAAATGCTGTGGCTGATCAAAATAGATAGATAGACAGACAGACAGATAAATAGATCTAAGCATTTTATCAGAAAAAATATCAACAAAATTAACCAATTCAATAAATTCAGACGAAATTGAATTCGGACTAAAATCTTAGCACATGCACCAGTTTCCTGACCTCCTCTTTGGCTTTGTCTTCTGCGAAGGTTTGGTGTTGTATGAATGAAGCTCCCAACAGCTGAGAGCTCTCATCCGAGAGTGTCAGTTTCTTCACTGCTTCCTCCAGAGTCATATCAGGCATTTCTACAGTGGCACCATATGCACTGAACCATGGTTTTGTAATATGTAAGAGACACAAAATTGAAGTTAACTCCTTTTTTTAAACAAATAAATGTTTTTTTTTTTTTTTTTTTTCTCTCAAGAAGAAAAAGGAGAAAGATTGTAAAATATGCCAAAAGTTATTTTTTACGTGCACACTAGCAAACTCTGAGACACAATTTTAGACTTTACAGTGCCTGGTCCTGTAGTTTGCCTTATAGTGTATTGTATGGTCTCATGAGTAATTGTAACTACAGTTATAATACATTATTATTCACCTTAAAGTCAATTAAACTGCTACCAAAATGGTAAATTAAATGATTCTATCAAGCATCTAATGTGCTTTTGCATTTTAGTACATACTGTAGTACTTGGGACGCAGATGTTTTTGCCAAAAGAAATTTCTTACACACTCACCCCGATCCTTCTGATTTGCTCCTGGTAATAGTTGCTTTCGACACTGTCTGTGATTGGATGGAGGAAGGCTTGATGTTAATGGACTGCGATTGGCTGGCGCTGACCAGCGGGTTATTCTCCCGCATCATGGATTGTACACTTGTGCGGTTATAGCGCACAGTAGAAGACCTCATGGACTTCTGGGTATTTCTGCCACCAAAGCCGTTCCCACTGGCCTTCATCCCATTGGATTGGGACTTCACAGTCAAGCTCCTCAGAGACTCCCTCTGGTTCTGGCTTCTCACCGATTTGCGCAAAGACAAGCTGCGACCAGTCTGGGCAAATAAAAAACAATGATGATTAAAGTGCTAATAGATTAAGAAAAAACGGTAACACGATTAAATGATCTATTATCAATATGTAGGCTATGTTTACTTTATACATCTTGAGCTCAATCAGAAAATAATTGACTCGTCCTTTACTAGAAATGTTAAGCTTGTTTTTGTATTTGTTTTTTGGTCACACTTTATATTAGGCGTCTTAAACTAATATGTACTTACATCAAAAAACAAAAAGTACAATACACTTATTATGTTCTATTGTAAAACACTTGTGCTGCTACTGATGTATCACAGACATTTCACATACACACACACACGCCGATTTCTTATGTGTTCAAAGCTCTTATAGCAACAGGAACATAACTTCTACTATAACTGGCCTTTCTACACATGGGTAATCTATCGCCAGAAGGAAGAGGGCTGAAATACTGATAGTGGGTGGTCTGGGTCATTTCAGATTTTATGCGCCTTACAGAGCTTGTAAAGACATTGTCTGATAAATTATGAGTACAATTTTACCAACTGAAAGGTTTATCTTCAAGAGTTTATTCTTATCGGTAACTGTTAGCATACGAAAGAAACAAATGGCACCATACATAAGAACTGGCTAAATAATACTGCAACACAAACGACGACGACAAGGCTGTAAAGACAAATGTCCAAGTTTACAAATAACCGTCAGCCTCTGTTGACAGCACCTGTAAACATCTAGAATTTTATCCAATGTAATCCTGAGATACTCCACCCTTAGGCTTTGAAATATTAAGGTGGAGAAAGATATCATCACACCACGTACTAAAATATGCTATGGATCGTTGATAGTCCAAAGAAAGAGTCATTGTCCTTATTAAGCAGTGCAAGAATGTCTGTAGTCTGTACCATTTGCATTGTGAAAGTAATGAGTAGAAGCAACAGTCATTTGTATAGAGAATATAAAGAAACGGGCCAATTATACACCCCTGGGGGGCACCAGTATTGAGAATAATGGTTGGCGATAATGCACAGTCCACCTTTACCACTTGTGCTCTATTAGAAAGAATATAAATCCTATGTATTAATCCTATGTATTGGTGATGATGGAACTTGCAGACACTGTAGTTTCCACATTATTACATGATGACGCTGAATTGAATTCAATAAAATTAATTCTGACAAAATTTCCAGATGTACTGAACAGTGCATCATGTATCTCTCTTCTGCTTATATGCACATTGGAGAGAATCTAAAAATGGCGTAACATATGGAAGCATAATGTTTTTTATCTTTTTTTTTTTACATTTCATAGGGGTTTACGACACAGGCCTGATACGATACAGTGATTTAACTCTGATTGATGAGTTTTTGGGGGGAGAGGAATAATAATTGACGATTTCCAGATTTCACAGGTATTGTTGAAGTACAGAAATCGAAGGAAGAGAGAATGAAGAATAGGGGTTGATTTCAGGACGCAGTTTCTCAGGAAGCCGGAATTCTATCCGGCCGGAGAGCCTTATTTGGTTTGCGCTTAAAGAGCTGGAAATAGACATCCCGCCTAGTTAGAAGGGAATTGCAATCCAATTATTGAAAAGGCAAAGAATCCAAAAGGCTGTTGTAAAATCAGAGCTATCAAAATTAGAATAAAAATGATTAAAGGGTTAGTTCACCAAAAATGAAAATTCTGTCAGTATTTACTCACCCTCATGTTGTTCCAACCCCGTAAGACCTTCGTTCATCTTCGGAACAGAAATTAAGATATTTAAGATATTAAGATCACTCCTGCATACTAGTCCATAGGCTTCTTGAGGGAATGACTCTTTTTGGCCTCCAAAAGTCAACAAAGACATCGTTAAAATAGTCCAAGTGACTACAGGGGCTCAATTTTAACTTTATCAAGCGACGAGAATACTTTTGTGTGCAAAAACAAACAAAAATAACGACTTTATTTCAACTATTCACTTCCTTCTCTATGGGCCTGTAGTCAGTTAACGTAGTGTGATAGCGTAGAGCTACGTCACATGAAGGCTCACTATTGGCCGACGCTGGTCATGTGTGTGTGATGTGTGTGACGTACAACAACAGAAGCTTACGCTATTAAACTAGTAACCTGACTCGCGCAGAGGGAGAAATAAACGAATAGTTGAAATAAAGTCGTTATTTTTGTTGTTTTTTTGCGCACAAAAGTGTTCTCGTCGTTTGATAAACTTAAGATTGAGCCACTGTAGTCACTTGGACTATTTTAACGATGTCTTTAATAACTTTTCGAGGACAGCAAGTGTCATTCCCTCAAGAAGCCTATGGACTAGTATGCAGGAGCGATCTTAATATCTTAAATTTCTTAATTTGTGTTCCGAAGATGAACGAAGGTCTTACAGGGTTGGAACAACATGAGGGTGAGTAAATACTGACAGAATTTTCATTTTTGGGTGAACTGTCCCTTTAAGATTAATAGCAAATGTGGTAGTCTTGTCTAGTAAGAGTCCTGACTATCGAAAAGTCTTGCTTGGTATTCATATTTGCAAAGTGTTCTTATAATTCTTTTTAGCCTTAACTATTTAATTTGTGATGTCCTGATTTATAATTAAATATGACTTATTAGATGACCGGCTCTTGGTTCAGTGTTGTGCCTGAACGCGTTCATATTTTGGGCGAACGTGAACTGTATTACTGCCTGATGAACGTTACTGTGAACGCGTTCATTCTGGTGTCTGTGTGAACGCACGCTCTCTCAGTTTAACTTCATACAATAGGGTGCCAGATTTCTATAGAGCCTTCCAGGCGAAAACCCGGCTAAAACACATGTAAACAGACCTTAATATGTAGCGAAAAAACCCAATCTGGCAACACCAGCCACCAGTGTCGCACCGCGGCCGCCGTCAACAAAGCAGCGAGCGAGGAGGCGTCGTATGATTATTTAAACGGGTTATGACGAGGTCGGTGAGGATGGAAAAATCGTACATTTCTGTGCAAACTTTGCCTGTCGATAAAATAATTGTTGTCTGTGGTTGTATATGGGCTGTGGCAATAAAAAAAGGCTAACGTATGCTAACATAAGATAACCAAAATAGCTAACTTTTTTTGAAGTATGAACTATGAACTGAACTAGTTCATTTTAAAATGTGTGAACTGAACTTTTAACTAGTTCATGTAGAAATTGAACTTTCCCAACACTGTCTTGGTTATTGAAGCTCTGAGACTGGCAAGAGCAGTTTTGGTAACTGCATTTTCTCTGTTTGATTTAGGTCATATAAAATCAATGATTTACTGGTTGTTTGACCATACACACGTTTCATATCCCTGGCAACTGCACACCAACATCCCTCAGCTAAAGAGAAATCATTAACTTTAACCCTCAAATTAACGCTCTGTTGATTTACAGTATCAATATCCAGGAATTGTGAAATGGTTACTTTTCCAAATTAAACAAGACCGAACAAAACATACTCAAGATGAAACCGATAAAAGGGCACAATCAAATTGCTCTTTAATTACCATGTTAACATGAACATAATTGTTCTATAAACATATATACTCTGGTTAAAAAAAGTATTTACTAAGCACAAAAAAGTGCAATTTAGCTTATTAATGTAGTGTTCACATGACGACGAAACTGTAGGTTCATGCCAGTTATCTTATTTGAATATCTATAAATCTGAATATGAGCTTAACTGGCTTAGAGTAATCATGAAAAAATGTTTAGATGATGCATATGGAATATAAAATCTAATGAGAGTTATTTGTTTTCTTTTGTTGTTGTTTTTTTATATAATCACTAGGACACATTTCTCAATACTTATCAAAACTCTTCACACAGTTCTCCTAAACAACTTTCAACTTGGCACAGCAGATCATTTTTCATCCAAAATGCACTAAAGCAACAACAACAACAACAACAAAAGCACTTAATTCATGTCTCAAATCAAGTCATTCTTCATGAACACTAGCAAAGTTGTCAACCAACAAACACACATTGTCACTGACTCATAAAACAACAACCTTAAAACACAGCAGGAGAATTACACAAAATGGTCTTTAGTGAAATGTCTTTCCAAATGACTGCTTATAATTCCTTTTCTGTATGTGATACATTATCCATGTTTAAATTACTGTACTAAATAATTCCTACAGTTTACCAATACTTAAAGTGCTTTTTTCCTAAACTCTTAAAGGGATAGTTCACCCAAAAATGAAAATTCTGTCAGTATTTTACTAACAGTATTTACTGTTGTTTCAACCCCATAAGACCTTCGTTCATCTTCGGAACACACATTGAGATATTTTTGATGAAATTTGAGAGCCGGATCGCTCCTTCATACTAGTCCATAGGCTTCTTCAGGGATTGAAAATTGCCAGCCTCAAAAAGTTATTAAAGACATCGTTAAAAATGGTCCAAGTGACTACAGTGGCTCAATCTTAATTTTATCAAACGACAAGAACACTTTTTGCATTGTTACGACCCCAGTCTGGGTCATATTATGTCGTTTTGGTTGTTCTTTTCATTTGATTTGTAGGTCGGAGTTGGAGTGAGTGACGTCATGATGGACTGATGGTGTTCACCTGTGTTAAGAGCTGATGCCGGCAAATAAAAACAGCTCCCTTCAGTCGTGACGGGCGCGCTCTCCCCTCGTGCCATTATTTTGTTGCTTTTGTTATTGTCTTGTTCTTATTTTTACTTTAATAAATGTTATTCCTTTTTCATTAAATCTTACGTGTCATTCCCTTCTTTGTCGCGGCTTGTGAGCCGGCCGTGACAGCGTGCAAAAAAACAACAACAAAAATAACGACTTAATTTCAACTATTTAAATTGGCAAGTTTCAATCCCTCAAGAAGCCTATGGACTAGTATGGAGGAGTGATCCAGCTCTCAGATTTCATCAAAAATATCTTAATTCATATTCCAAAGATGAACAAAGGTCTTACGGGTTTGGAACAACATGAGGGAGAGTAAATACTGGCAGAATTTTCTTTTTTGGGTGAACTAACCCTTTAATGTAGCAACACTCCTACATCACACAACTA